TTTGGTAAGGGCAGGGGGTGGGGGGGAAGAAAAGGTAACGTGAAGATAATACTTACCCATTCAACAACTTGCTTCGACAAGGGCCAAAACCCATTCATGGACAAGCAAGATCATGGAGAATATAACTAATTTCGGGAATTTCGGGAACTCTCATTAGATTCCGCTTCTCTGCGGAAGTCAATGATTGACCTAAGCTCGTGCAATCCCTGTCAAATGGATTTTTGGTAAATGTAGAACGTTAGAGGGCTTTAGGGAATCATCTTGAAAGAATCCCCTCATGAACTAATTATAGCCTGAGGAACTTTTAACCTATCCCTTGCATGTGCGTCCTCCTCAGGCCCATATCTATACGGCATTTCCTTATAATGAAACGGATATGAAGGCTTACCATCACTACATTTAGGTGCTAAAGGTTGGAAGTGTCTAATGTCATACTGTTCCATGAATGCTTTATTCATCTTATTCATCTTAGGGTACTCGGTCATGCATGATACTGCAAATTGCCGCAACGGACTGCATTGCAGCTCGACAAACTAGCTGTCAACTTCCTGAGGAATCCGTGATATTCCGCTAACTCCTTATTCCACGTAACAAGGTTTCTCTCTGGTTCTCCAGATCCCTCAAGCTAATGTCTCTTAACACATATCATACAAATCCTATTCCTTGACAATCCATTACCGAGATATGAAGCTAGAGACGTGACCTGGCAGTGAAAACCATAAACACACACGGATAAGAGGGACCTCCCAGGAAGGGAAAAATATCCCTCACCAAGAGCATCCACTTACATACTTAACCCTCCCCTCCCTCAAGGAGCGGGCAGGAGCAGACGACAGGGATGGAGGAGGCACACGACGCAGGACGGTAGCCCCCGTACCCCTTTCCAGGTAAACAACGGTTTAGCGCCCCAAGTAGCCGGCATCCCTTTGGGCCCCATACAGGAGTTATATCTCTCTCGCTTCCATACCCTAGTAGCACATAACATTGAAACAACATGGATTCATTGTTGAGTCAACATCCGGATGTTGAATCAGCATGGAATCGATGTTGATTCAATGTTAAGTGCTACTAGGGTAGCGAGTTTATTTCCCTTCCTAGTGTCTACTTTACTATTGGGCCTGTGTGAGGCTGCTTCTCCTCCGAGACCCCATGACCCCTCCCCCTAAAACTTGGGCCTCATGCTTCCTTGGGATGAGGCATCAGGACGAATGAGATACGTGACCCGGTCACTGATGTGGTTCTGGGCCGCATTGGGTTACTGGAGTCATTATTAATCTGAAAAATGTTTATTTCTTTTTAAAACCCGCTGAAATTGGTGGTGAATGTGAAAGCGGCGAGAATGAATGGGAATCAATCCACCGGGAGCGAAATTGAATTAATTTCAAGTATGTTATATGTGGAGATGTGTGATTAGGCCTGTGTGCCCATTTTGCTTCTCTTTCTCAGTATCTCGCAGTTGACTTCTGTCATATTGTAGCATACAGTATATTCACCCTAGAAACATAGTTCCAGAGTTAACCAGTTCATCAGGACTTAGTTTAGGAGCGAAGCGACGACATGAGCTGAGTTGGAATACGCGCTACAACGCCGGTGTCGATCAGTGAACATATAACAAGGAAAATTGGTGAGACCAGCTGTTCGTGAAAACCCATTCGCTTCCATTACCACAACACATCCTTCATTGACGTAGCAACATTAGTAGAGGTAGTGGAAAGGGCAGAAAGGGATGTCACAAGCATCAATTTGGGGGTTCAGAATTTTCTGGACAAAGCAGTAGGGCCCGGTCTCACGCCCATCCGGATTGCGACAGAAGTTGTGATTCTCGCTTCTCATGTCCTCTGGGAATCTGTGCCAAAGTCTCTCCAGCAACGCGGATTCTTGCCATGTCATACACAATTCCCCCGAAAGTGATTTATTTCGAGTCCCTGCGTATTCCTCTCCCTCCTTCGTCCATCGGCATTCCGTCTTGTCTGGTGGAGAGAAGAAAAATTATATGTATCAACCAAAAAAATAGATGAATGACTCCCAGGATGTGTCTCAGCGAAAACTTACCAGCCAGTCAATAACAATGTCTGACTCATTGAGGTACGTCATCCGTTGCTTGTTTCAATATATTAAAAAGACAATTCAATAGGAGATTTGAGCCGTATCGGGCGGGGCAAACGGAAATATCCAACGAGAAAATCTCCTGTACTAATTATTTTAAATCGAAAGAGAACATTTCTTGTGGTTCAATCGAAGGAATCAATTATTCATCGAAATCGAATGGATAATAGCATCGGAAGAAAACGTTTCCTCGGTTCCCATGCACCACATCGCGAAACAAGTCAAAGAATTCATGAGAGCAGCAAACGATGAACTAAGCAACATCTTGAGTAATTTCGCCATGTGCAATTTAATGCTGCATTGCAATCAATTTAAATTATCTCATGGTTTGGCGAAATTGAGTAATATTTCGCAGCCAAGAAAGTCCCTTGGACCGGAATAAGGCATCTACTTGCAACGAGTTTCGCTGGTGTTGAACTTTGTAACTATCCGTATGTAACCATACATATATATCCATTTAGAACTCAACATAATGATTGAAGTCAGCTCACTGGGGTAGTCAGGGCAAAAAGGGATTCGGCAGAATTCCCACTCGATGACTCCATCTTCAACAAAACACCAAGGTTGGTGCCTGAACGTCGGGTTTCTGCAGAAATCCTGATGCAACGTGGAATTGCCGAATCGGAAATGTGCCTCATAAGGTACATTCGGGCGAAAGTCCTCAGGCTTTCCATAGGGCTGGGAATCCCACCGGAGACAGGGCTTTCCGGTCTTCGTTTTCCTCGTCGTGCCAACGTATTCCTTCCCCATTGAAGTCTGCAAGCACTCCGGATATCCTTCCGCCGGTTCACCTGTCAGAATTTTCGCGTGAAAATCGAAACACGTGAAATTCGACTTGCACCTGCAGGAATCGCTTCACTTCTTCCATGGAATTGCTTTCCGTAAGGTTACACATTGAATCTATCCAACATGTTAGACTGTCGAATCAGAGCATTCAAACGTTACATTAACCTATCCATTCAGCAGCCCCAGAAGCAATCGAATGGTTAGCTAACCTAGACATGGAACTTAAATTGTTCATACTCAAAACGCTATGAGAAAGAAGACCGAAAGGCTTTTCTTATTGGACACGGCTATGAAGGATTAGTTACTTTGGTAGATTTACTTTTAGTTCTTCGTTCATGAAACACTCGCATTAGATAAAGGTTGCTACACCTTGAGCACGGAGGAAAGGAAAAGATTACCCTCGACGGCGACCCGCTCATTCAATTGAGAGCAGAAAGGGACCGTGCACTGCCCCCATCTTTCGCTAGTTCCCTCCTCAATGAAGCACCATGGACCGCCGCTGTCTGCGTCAGGATTCCGACAGAAGTCGTGACTGCTATCCATGTTTTCATCAGGGAATGTCATGAAGTCCATGAATGCAAATCGCTTGTCGTGTGGCCGACTCAACCAGGGTAGACACTTCCGACCGTCTGAGTCAACGTTCTTGAATCCAGCATAATCCAGTCCCTCTTTGGTCAATCTACATTCCAGGGGCTCTGAGGGTTAACAGAAGAAGTTATAGTTCCCGTTATTGGCCATTAGGAGTAATTACACAGTTCGCTTTTAATCACATTCATTTTTCATTTGAATTAACTGCATGAATTCCCTTTTGTTAATTTCTGACGTCTCACCTCATTGTTACTCAGTACTGTCTACTGTAATAAAGGATAACATTTTAATCCATGAGATAAGACAATGGTACTGTAGAAATGGTTGCATATGAGTATCAGGAACCCCTGAATTATAATTTATTCGTGAAGATTCAGAAAACTTCAGCACAGAATGAATAAATTCGGAGAATGATGAGCCCTCTCACGTTTCCTAAAGTGTTGAGTCGAAGCTCTCGAAGAAACACAGACCTTTTGGAGGGTGGCAGAAGGGAATGTCGCAATATTCCCAGCGCAAAGGCGTGACAGAAGCGAAGCACCATGGCCGCTCGGCCCTCGCAGGATTCCGGCAGTAGTTTCCTTCCTGGTTTTCAATGACTTTGCGCATTGCCTTTTGAAGGTCCTGTGGTACTTCGTTGCGCTCGTGGTAAGGGTGATAAGAGTAGAGGAAATCCTGCAGGTCATCAATGTTGATACCAAACCATGACATAGTCATACTCCAGGATAGGCATTCTATTCCGTTTTCTGTTTGACTGTGGGTTCCTCTGTATTCCTTCCCCATTGGCGTCATTCTGCATTCCGGATAGATGCGCGAAACCTCTACTCCACCTGCAAAATATGTGCTCGTGTTTGGATAAAATTATCGATTGGGTGTAATAAGCATAAAAATGCTTATTCTAACCAATCAAAGGCATTGTCGAAACTGTCTAACATTGTCCAAATTCAAACGGAATCGGAATTATTTTACATTGAAAATACCTTACAAATGAAAGCATAAAGCTTCTTTCTCCAATAATTTCTAGATAATATTTACAAAAGCACAAAATAAGTATCGAGTAGGATAATAATGTAGGAATTTTGAGTAATTAGGCTCCTTCTCGTTAGGCTGTTCAGTTTCACGACCGCGTGAAATTCCACAATGTTTTCGTACGCACTTGATAGGCGGTAGTCGAAGCGCGGCTGGATTTTCAATTATTTGCGACCTTGAGGTATCGTCAATGGACTAGAATTGAACAACAAGTATCAAAGAATATTTTAAAGTTTCCAGCCTTCGAAGGCAAAAGTATCATAGCGGCAATCAAATCAATAACTTTCGGGACCAATAAATTGAAAGTCGTGATGGATCAAAAATGTTGATTCTATTCGGTATCGATATTCCTGAAGCATAACAAATGTTAACTTTTTAAATAATGTTACTTACTCGACGCGCATCGGCCCTCCGTCTCGCATGTCCTCTTCGCATTTGCCCCGGCACAGAGACGCACATCGCAATATTCCCAATCATTCCCAGAGCCTGTGGGATCTGGAACTTTGCACCAGGGACCGCCCGGCTTCCCGGTCGGGTTCCGGCAATAGTTGTGCTCATCCGTGAGGGCATCGGGGAATGCCTGCCTCCTCATTGCAAACATTTCCTCCGGAATCCCCCCCTCATAACTAACCCACGCAAGGCAAGTAGAGCCAGATATCCCTTTGTTTTGTGCCCCCACGTATTCAGCTCCCTTTTGAGTCCTCTTGCATTCTGGTGCAGCTGAAAAAAGTCGGCATCGCTCTTTGTAGAAACGCAGCCTTTTCATTTCTAGGATGACATCCAAACAAAACAAGAAAATCATGTGAATATATTCTATGATAGTAACATGAGGTTTCTCACGTCGTCCTGGCTTCCGGTATATATGCAAAATAAGCGCGAAAGTTTGAGGGCTCGGCTTCAAGTTGATGGTGAGTCATTTCTTTGCCATCTGGTTCCATTCTTTCCATTTTTTTTATATATAAGGTGTGATTTCGTAAAGAATTTCATGAAACAGCATTTGGTGCTCTGAATTGTATCTTTGGTTTTCTTAATCTAGGTTGAGTTTTGAACTAATATTAAGGCAATTGAAACATTTCGTCCAGTATTCCTGCCTAGGACTTGCACAGTTTGAGTTATGGAGTGCCAGTAAGTGTTGAGCTTCACTTGGAGATCTATTGACGAATGCGAGGCCGTATCGTTTTTTTCACTATAGTTATTCAGATATTGAATTCTTTAAAAATATTCTCAATTTCATCCCACCTTATCTGGAACATTATTTTCCGCTCTTCGAAAACGAGTCTTTTTTTTTCCTTCAACTGCATTAAACGGAACCCTGTCCTCAAGGTGCTTATAATTGCTGCAAGTGAATGGAACATATTAACTCCATTTCAATACACAATCTTAAATTTCCTTGTGAAGAATGTGCTATTTAAAATTGAAAGCAGGAGATCCAAAATGTATTCTTATGCCACAACAAAGAAACAAAGGAAGTTCTGAAAGAAATCAAGAAATGCAGACCATAAATACATATTTGCGTAGAATACATGCTGCAAATGCTCTTCCTTGATGAATGGATTTGAGTATCACTCACTCAGAACATCACAAAAGGGAATCGAGCAATATTCCCACTTCAAGCCGTCATTCTCGACGAAACACCAGGGCATATTGTTCAACGTCGGGTTCCGGCAGAAATTCTTGTGGGAGGACGGGTCCTGGTTCAGGAAATGTTCTTCGAAAAACATGTATCTATCGAACCCCTTCGCAATTGTAGAGTAGAACATTTTCACATCAGGGGAATCCCATCTGAGGCAGGGTTTTCCAGACTCCGTGAAGTCCAGGGTTCCAATGTATTCCTTCCCCATCTCCGTCAGTCGGCATTCGGGATAAACTTGCTCATCTAGTAATCCATACGTGGATACCAAAGGAAACTGAGCACAGTAGATGCAGATCAATCCAATAGATACAGATTTAGCCACGTGGTTTCATCTAAAATTTAGTTCTTGTGCGAAATATGGATGTAGATGAATTTCCTAATTTCACTTCTGTGCTGCAATTCAATAATCCTGAGAGGAGTTGTCCATATCTCGATGAGTTCCTTTTGCAGAATTCAATGAGAAATGCCCAGACAACGCGCTTTTTCTTGAACTTTCTTAACTGCATCTGAATTCTACATTCTGAAGGAACATAATTTCCCAGAGGAAATGATATGATGTGTTCGTATTGACAAACGCCACATTTCCTGACACAAATCCTTTTGCCAATTTTGATCTCCTGTTTATTTGAATGGTGGAAAAATTTCTTTGGAACGTACTAATCCAGGACTTACATCACATAATACTTTAGGCAATTGTGATATAGAAATTCCCCGATTTACGACTTTCATTGGATTGATTGGGATAAAAATTACTTTCTCTCCCATTGAATAAATAACGAAAAAATTAGTGTTCATGAAGTTCATAAAAACTGAGAGTTGAGAAGAATAAGTGAAGCAATGAAAAACTAAAAACAAGATAGAAATACTTCTCTCAGTGAAAATGGGCAGGGTGTTGCACTACTGACAGTTCCGTCTCGTATGAAATTGCTGCGCTCAGGTAAGGAGCACACGTTTCACATTGAAATTAGGTAAATAGCTGGGTGTGCCACGGAAAATTGAGGTGTTCTAATGTGTGCCGCAAATAATAAAAATAGGTTCGGAAACAATGGGTTCGAGTGTTAATGGTTTTTACATGACTGGAAAAGATTTTATCCGTAGGAAAAATGTTCGTGAAAGCCTCACTGAAGCACGCAGGAATGGAAATACAGAATCAGGTGGCGGTACTAACCTGTAAAATGAGGTCTACGTGAAAAGAAGAGCCTGAACATTCTCTTTCAATATGAAGTCGCGAATAAAGGATGTAGAGTTGAGGACAATATGATTGCAGTGAAGATATATTTGTCCCCTGTGATTTTTGATTTGTTTTCAATGGATTGATATAATAACAATAATAATATAATTGGGACAATATGGGCATTTTTGGAGCGACATACCCCTGCAGCGAACTTCCTTGCCGTCAAAGGAGGCTTTCCAGGTGTCATCGGGATAAAGAGAGCAGGTGGCATCATGCGTGGGGGAGCCATCGGTGAAACCCCAGGAACCAATGCACGTGTAAATGACGCGGGCGCCCGGAGGCGCTGGGTATTTCCGGTCCCATGCCTCATACGCCACATTCACGTTTTCCATCTTGGGGTACTCGGTCACGCACGATACTGAAAAATACCTCAATGTCATGCATCACAACTCGGTGTACCTGCTGGCAGCTTCCTGATTAGTCCACATCATTCTGCTAGCTCCCTATTTCACGTATCAAAGTCTCTCTCCAATTCTCCAGATCCCTCAAGCTAATCTCTCCTCCCACAAATCATACAAATTATATTTCCATACACTCCATCGGCAGGATATGAAGTTGGAAAGGGGACGTTCATTCTAGGGGCCTTTTCCTCCCTCTATGTCTCAGTCAAAATTTAACAAATTTGTCAATTGTCTGCATATGCTACTTTACTAAATCAATCTATGGGTCATGGTCCTTGAAATGAGTCTGCAAATTATCTGGAAAAGTATTCACAGTGAAAAAGCCTCAGTTATTTTAAGGGGAATTTGTGAAATTCCAGCGGTTCAACAGGACAACAATGTGAAAATATTATAGGAGAAAAGCGTCTTCATTGTTTTCATACAAGAGAAAATGAAGAAACTTTTCCAACACGAGCTCGACTTCTGCAAAAACCCAGTCTCAGCACTTCCCTTTCATCAATGAATCCCAAAAATGAAAACCTGCAATAACCTTCACTTTGCCGGTGATCCTAAGCGTCAGTTGACGCAAATACACGTCAGCCTATGTTAACGCGGTTGACGTATATTTACGCGAGTTTGAGTAAATCCATCGGGTATAAGGGTTTTCCCCGAAATTTTATCTGGAGGTGTCTGGCACCTCTTGCATTTGTCATGCTAATAATTCCAATACATATTTTGTAAATCCAAAGGATTTTGCCACTCATGGGGATGGTTAAGCACCACCTCCCCTGACGCCAAAGGGTTCATTCCAAGCCTCCACGTTTCCACAGGTGAAACGTTTCCAAAATATGTCCTTCGGAAAAGCCATTAGCCTCTCATTTCACGGTAAATTTTGAAAGCTATCCTCCTAATATGTATTATTTATATGTTTTTAGATATCCTCGTTTCCAACATCGATATCCATTGAATATGTTTGGTCTACGTTTACGGAATGGTTGCGATATACTTCCAATAATATTCTCATGTCCCTTCCTTGTGCTCTACCCTTACACGTTGAGGCACGACGAACGAGCTTTGCTAGCAAGAATCTCTTATGTCTGGATTTTTCCCCATTATGGAGATAGTTCGTGTCTAACTCGACTGAAACCAAAATGCATGCTCACGCGGATTCGGACAGAGATCCTTTTCGCCTTCGATGAACGTCGTGCACCATGCATCAACATCAGTCGACGAACAGGTGGCGTGGTGTTCCTTCAAACCGTCTTTGAACCCTCGCGGGTGCTTGCAAGCGAAGCTCACCTCCCCACCAGGCGGAGCGGGATGTTTACCCATCCAACCCTCGAAGGATTCTTCCGCGTGCTCGATCCTCGGGTAATCCGTCAAGCAGAGAACTGCATTTGTGTAGATTTGTGACATGAACACATAATAAAATAGATGCATAAAGGACCATTATATTCATCACTGATTCTGCAAAATACACTTGCGATGAATAAATGTGAAAGGAAAATGTCATTTTGGGGGCAAATTGTGGTCAACTAGGGGATTTCAGAGTCATGATGGTTGATGTTCGCAAAGAACTGCGACACTCGTTGGGAGCGATCGTTATTTTTTTAAACTCAAGTAAGCGAATCGAGGACAACAAATCCTCCTCCAACGCCAAGAAACGGAACTTCTGGACAAACGATGCTGGCATTTAGCCTTATCATTGTTTAAACCCTTGTTTTTCCCTCACAGTTAACACTCAGTTGACATATGAAATGTTTTTTTCGTTATTGAAAAAGCCTTAGCATTTCTAAAGGTTTAGAATTCAACAAATCAGATGTCATATTATTATAATGCAATGTGAAAACCAATTTTCAATCGCTTCCCCTTTCTTCAACCCCCCCACCCCCCCCAGATTTTCCACGGGACTCGCTAACGTTAGGCCTACGCCTAACTAACAGACTCCCTTCAGGTCACGCCAAGGCATACCTTTTTCTTTTCAAAAGAAACTCAATTCTGTACTAACGGCGCCAGTTAGGCCTATGAGGGTGAATCGTGGTCTTCGAGACGTCTGATTGAGGATGTGCAACGTTAGGCCAATCGCAGGCCTATTCATACGTTCATGAACCATTTCAGAGTAGACGTTTAACGTTAAACCGATTGGTGGCCTGATTCGCGTTTCATGAACAATTTCAGTGGGACGTGGAACGTTAGACCTATCTGGAGTTCCTCGAACCATATCGAATATGTCTGAGGAGGGAATTCCCTCAAGAAGCATGGAATCAGTGGTTCGCGCCATCCTGTTAATTCAGGGATGTCCAGACAAGATATCTGCATATCCCACAACATCGATCAATATCTGCTAACCACAGCTTCATTCTCAACTCATCTCATGCATTCAGCACAAAAATGTCTTGAACATTTAAAAAACAAAATCCAGACGCCAATACGAAGGATCTTGTCTTGAATCTGACATACTTTCGGCACGGTATCTGGCAACACTGGGGGACGGTACTAAAGCTAGCACTCTAAGCCTAATTGAACGACAGCTAATTTCATTTTTTTAAATGACAAAATGCAGCATCGCAAACAGCAAAAAAGCCACATTCGTTAAATTGTAACAGTCAGTACTGTATACTGTAATAAAGGAAAACATTTCAAGCCATGACATAAGACGATGTGAGTGTGAATCCATGATGTGAGTATCAGGAACACATTTTTTATGGTTGGTCTCTTTCCTCCGAAAACCCCCTGGGGGGGGCTACCCAGGGGGGGGGGGGGACGGGGGACGGACAGAATGAAATTCAGTGTTCTCCACAACCGCGGGGATGGAGCTATATATTTGTTGGAGCAATTTTTTTGGTGAGAGAGGAAGAAGTATGCCAAATTTCGTTCCTGTTAATGCTCAGGCAGGAATACGAGGACGTTGAATTTTCCGGCGGGAAGGGGTTGAAGAAAGGTAATAGGCGCTACCGAAGCTTATTGATGAGATACTTTCGGGAAATCTCTATTGTTACATCCTGATCTACGTCTTTAGATGGGGGAGTCACATTCAGCTTCCGCTTCAACAGGAAATTATTGTTGAATAATCTTGGTAAATAGGTGAGATGGCTTACTCAATTTCTAATAATAAGGATTTTCTCCGCTTCCTATATACAGTATGTTGCAATGAAATATGAACATAGGAGGAACGTGTTTTCCGAGTGTAAAAGATTACATCTACTAGATATCCATGGAATCTGTATATCCAGGCAAAATCATCGTCCTCGTAGCAATCAAAAATAATAATTCCATACTCACATTGTACATGTGCCTGGTACCCATCTGAGGGAACGAGACCACTCTTGTCATGAATGAGCTGACAAAATCCATCCCTTTCCCTGTAATTGAAAGCCGGGCAAGGCCTATTCGCGGTGATCCTCAAACACTTCACGTGGCAGTCCTCGAAGTTCTTCGCTTGGAACTGGTGTGACACGTTCCCGTATCTTCGCCCTTGGTACACGGCATGATACACGAGGATGTAGGGCAAGGCCTATTCGCGGTGATCCCCAAACACTTCACGTGGCAGTCCTCGAAGTTCTTCGCTTGGAACTGGTGTGACACGTTCCCGTATCTTCGCCCTTGGTACACGGCATGATACACGAGGATGTCCGAAGATGATCCAGCCCAAAACAGACAGGAAATTAAAACCGGAGTCAAGAAATCGCCCATGACCCTGAGATGTGAGGGAAAAGTCGACTTTGAAATTTCCCTAATTCCAGGAATTGAACAGTTAGAAGCATGCTTTTTTTTTTACTATGACAGATGCCTCCGGCTAGATTTCGCCTGCATCGACGAAACTCACCTAGGAATGAGCGCGTTTCATCTGGAAAACTGTTGGAAGAATATCTCCACTTGTGCCAACTTCGCGTGTATTACCAAGTAGCAGCTTGTGTGAAGGTCATCTAAATCAGGGGTGACAAACATACGGCACGCCGTCCGTTCTTGAAAGGCCCGCTTGGATTGGCTGTCAGCAGAAATTGGGGCAAATAATTAGGGTGCGGCCTGCAGCCAACTGCAGGGAAGGGAATGCGTCCCGCCGACCTTTTTCGGGTTTGAAACCCCTGATGTAAAATAATAGAAAATGCATGAAAATTTGAGATGATAAAAGTTGATATTTACTATCATAAAATTAAGCAGTGCAGTGGCATGTTAAAAAGGTCGACTATGTAACTGAAGCATCAAGGTATTGACATGAGTTGAAGATGAGAAACTTTTGAGTTACACTTGTATAGAACCGATTCCATCTCCAATCGACGCTCGATATAAAGAACCTGATGGGATGAGCAAAAAATATTCACAAGGAAAGTTCGTTATTTATACATTGAGGGTATATTACTTCATATATAAACTACAAAGGAAATCCCTTATCAGCTGGAGGCATTCCAGCTGGAGTGGTCAAATTTTAGCACTTTCGTTGGGCTTTAGACTCCGATTTTCTTGAAAAGATTATTGCATTTTAGCACTCAAGACTTATAATTAAAAAAATTTCGGGCTCTCTGGTTCTAGCGGATCTCCAGATATGTGGCCCCAAACTTTTCCCTCAAGAGGAAAAGTGGCCTTTATGGTTAAAGCGCTATCTTTGGTCCTAGTCGAACTAGAAACGCGTGTTTGGGCGCTAAGTAAAGCTGATGCAATCTAGAATCAGATTATTAAACGCATTTGCTAATGCGTTTATTGCAAATGGAGTTACGCACATTCGAAAAATTGTAAATATTGCAGGATTCTGCACACCAAACTATTAGCACTAGGATGCATGGTAACACCACGACCTTTCGTAACATTGTAGACTAAGTCAATGGCAATTCAAGAACTAAATTTAAACTTCCTAAATTTTTTAAAACAAATTTTAAATTTAATTGAAAATGCCAAAATTGCCTGTTTTTATAGTTTTTTTTTTGCGGCTGGCACTTCCTGTTTTAAACAAGATA